CAGAAGGCAGGGGAGCTTATGGATGGACATAGCCTAGCCCAAGGAGCCTCACTGCCCTGAGCTCACAGGAGGAGTGCAGACAGGAAGTGGAAAGGCTGGTATCAAGTGGATCTTCTCACGAGAACCCACATTAGGGGCCAGCTCCTGTCTAGTAGTCAGGTCTGCAAATTCTAGGGTAATTTTAAAGAATCTGTGGGCAAGACTTTCTTGTCTTTAGAGAGAGAATACAGCCCTTGGCTATTCCTCTGGGGACTGTGGTGCTAGAGCCATTGCAGCCAGTGTGTCATCACAAGGACTTGCATTGCACGAAGATGGTATCTCTTAACTAGGCCACGTCATTAACAGATTAACCAATACTGGCATGACCACACCATAGACTATCACACAATACTCATTCATTCACACAGGCAATAAATATCAAGCGAACAATGACAAACTCCAAGCCTTGCTCAAGGCACCTGAGACATTCTAAAGGACAAACTTGTAATATCTAATGCCTCGAGAAAGTTTCAAATTTGTTTACTGTTTTAGACTTTTTATGAGTCTAATTTTTTTTTTGTTGCCTGAAGCCAGAGCATCCTCACTTACACCCTGCCAACTGCATATTGGCTTCACAGGTAGCTGAAACACAGCTATGACTATATAGCGTAAAATAATTGAAAGAACCCTTTCTGATCTTTCTCTTCCTCTCATGCGTTGACATTTTGGAACATCACCCGATTCCCAAGTAAACCACAGTCTCCTGTCACGTCTTCACAATGCTGCCCATTTCCGGTTTGCTTTTTAATTCTTTGGCACCTTCTCATCCTAGGAATTTTCTCCTTACTCTCAGATTACTTTTGACCACTGGAACATTAAATATTGAAGGTCCTTGGGTTTTTTTTATATCAAGGTCTCCATTTGTTTTCTCTCAGGAAACTACCATCCGTGTTCCCGCTGGACTCCAACTGTGATGGTTAATCACCACCATCAGCTCGACTGAATTTAGAACCACCTGGGAGACACACCTCTATGTAGGCTTCTGCAAATGCTTCTAGGGATGTTTAACTGGGCAGGGCTAACTCATCCTGAATGGTGGCACCAATCCACAAACCAGGGTTTCAGAATGAAAAAAAAGAGTAAAGGAGAAAGCCAGATGCGTGGCAGTATTCATCTTTCTCTGCTTCCTGACTGCAGACACAATGCGACCAGGCGCCGTGTTCCTGCCACCACAGCCATCCTTGCTGGCATGTCTCCACCATGATGGTTTGTAACCTCAAGCCATGAACCAAAATAAATGTTTTCTGAAATGGATTTTGCCAAGTATTTCATCACAGCAGTGATAGACATAAGTAATCATGAGTGTATATCTCGGAATTCCAAACCACATCTAGCCCAGACCTCCCTCTGTAGCTTTAGTGTCTGGTGTCAGTCAACTGGATACCTCGATCCATAAAGTTAATCACCATGATATTGTATGCTTGAAATTCACTTCTCTGGGCTCCTAGCTCCGTAAATGGTTCCCGTACCTTTCCACCTGGTTATTTGAGCCCCTTTACTCTTCTCCTTTCACACCTCCAACTCTAAATGTTTCAAGAGTTCTTCTGACTTCATCTCTTGTATAACTTTCTAGCCCAATGTCTCCCTTATGCCTATGACTTTCATTCCTGTCGCCCACTATCCTGTTCTCTGAAGCCCAGTGACTATGACTGGCTGATTTTCCTGATTCATGTCTTGGACTATCTCCTAGTCATCTTCTCCTGCAGGATGAATGGTGAGGCCATGACTCTGATGGGCAGAGACGCTCTCCTAAAGCTCTGCAAATGCCCTTACGAAAACAGGCATGGAAAGGGCAGAGGGCTCCAATCTATGTGACCTCCCTGACTGCTTACTGGGCAGATAGAAGGATGCTCATTCTTACTTCATTTCTCATTGGTGCTTCCAATGGTGCTGAGCCTTCATCTCTGGACACCCTCACCCCTTTCCATCATCGCTAGGACAACCTCTGTCCATCTTTTAGCATCCCCAAGCACTCTCCCTTGCAAGGTGCCTTATAAGAGTCCCCTGGCCTGTGGACTAATAGTTTCACACGCTGCGTGGAAGTCACTGTACCTACCATGTTGTCTGTGTCTACTGTCAGGACTGTGAGCTCGGTTAGCCAGGGAGCCTGCCCTTCTTAGTAGCACTTCTGCTTCTTAGAATAATGCCTGCATGCTCAGAATGGTGTCACACGCCTTTTATACCAGCACTTGGGAGGCAAAGGCAGGCTGATCTCTGTGAGTTCAAGGCCAGCCTGGTTTATAGAGCAAGTTCCAGGACAGCCAGGGTTACAGAAAGAAACCCTGTCTGGACAAAAACAAACACACACAAGTTTAAAAAAGAATAATGCCTGCAACATGGCAAAGTGCTCAACCAACCCATGATGAACAAAAGTCCATTCTTGGTAACTTATACTCAGGGATAGCACTAATCCATTTATTCTTCTGGCTTGGGCAGTGCTTTTCTTTCTTTCTTTCTTTCTTTCTTTCTTTCTTTCTTTCTTTCTTTCTTTCTTTCTTTCTTTCTTGCTCTGAGAATTTGGTGTTGTCTAAGAAGATATTTACTTACTTATTTATATGTGTGTGGGGTGGTGGTAGTGGTGGTGGTGGTGGTGATGGTGGTGGTGGTGGTGGTGGTGGTGTGTGTGTCTGTCACATGGGGTAGAGGTGCCTGCAGAGGTCAGAAGAGAGGTCATGGTTATTCAGGGTAAATCAGTTAAGGCACTTGTGAACACATGGATGCTGGACCCAAACGCAGGTCTTCTGGAAGAGCTGCACAGTGTCTTTTCTTGTTATTGTTGTTGTTGTTGTTTTGTTTTTGTTGGTTGGTTTTGTGTGTGTGTGTGTGTGTTTTTTTTTTTTAACTCAGGGTTTTTCTGTGTAACAGCCCTGGCTGTCCTGGAACTAGCATTGTAGACCAGGCTGGCCTTGAACTCACAGAGATCTCCCTGTCTCTGCCTCCCCGAGTGCTGGGATTAAAGGCATGCGTCACCACCACCCAGCCAGCATAGAGTCTTCCTGCCACCTCTCCAGCCCCAAATTAAAGGAATATTTAATTACAATTTCTCTTTGTCCTCTTTATCATGTAAACCACTCCTCAAACATGCCAACTGAATACCTGGAACATGTTAATAGGTGGATTTTTACTTAGACGACCCCAATGAACAAGTGTGAGCAAATTTATTGTAAGAAGTTCTGAGCCGCTGCACTTGGCTTTCTGCTGTGGTTACTGAAAGCAAATACTGTATCCTCATTTCCACACAGTTACTACAGATCACAGCTCCCTGTAGATGCCATTTGTAGGCACGACATCAGAGAAGCTAAAATGGGACAAACCGCAGTGTCTGGTAAAGGTTGTGAAAAGCATTTCTCGTAAACGTTAAAAGACTTTAAAAGTCCACGCACCTGGGCCCAGATAAATAAGGGGATTTCGGAAGGCCACAGCCAACATTTGTCTCCTCTACTATGGAGAAAAATTTTTATTTCCATTTTGAGAGGATGATGACCTTTATGTTAAATATCAGGCTACAGGCAGGAGGGGGCGGTAGGGAATCATCCATTTTGAGAGCTCCCGTTGTGCGTGTAACAGCGCCTGCCAGTGCAGTGATTCTCAATCTGTGGGTCGCGACCCCCGAGGGGGTCACATTTCAAACATCCTGCATACCAGATATTTACATTGCAATTCATAACAGTAACAAAATCACAGTTTTGAAGTAGTAACGAAATGATTTTAGGGTTGGAGGTCACTGCAACATAAAGAACTATCACCTGAATAAGGACAACAAAACAACAGCAAAATCCCCAAGCTTACACCCTGACATGCTTTATTTTTATTTGCTGAAGAATGTTATCTGAAATTCTAGTACTTTCTGGAGAGCTATGTTACTCATGGGGCCACTCATCCGTTCTAGTCTTTCCCAGAAGCAGACCCATCCTCTGGGTTTCCTTTCCCTCCCACGTGGGATCCTTTGTCTCCAGGGACGACAGAACCTTCTGAGTGAGCTGTGGTGGCCTCAATTATGTCATGGTAGGCTGCCACAGGTAAGGGGCAGGCCCGGCTGACAATGCAGGCGGGATGTCAGGGCTTTCGGAAGCAGAGAGCTGGATTCTCTCTCACAGTTCCCCCCTCTCCCGCCCCTGTCCTCCCCCTCTCTTCCCTTCCCTTTTTCTTTCTCATCTCTTTCCCTTTCCTTCTTTCTGTCTCCTTCGTTCTCACAAGAAGCACATTTATGGAAGAAACACGCTCCTTCTATATGACACAAGTCACAAAGTGTCGGGAAATCCAGGGAGTCACAGCATCATGTTACCAGTGTGGTTTCTATTCTGCACATCCCAGGCTGCATGAACTGTGTACAATATTCGAATGGCCCCTGACCGCTAAGATCATCTATCACTCACGCGAAACTAACAGCAACTCCGGGAGGCTTTGTGCAATCACAGCACCTCAAAAACATTTCGGTCAGAGGACATTCATGAGACTCAGGGGGTAAACACACTTCACACGTCTGGTAAAGACAAAGCCTACAACATTCACAGGGGCGCCTCCTCAAGGCTACGGAAGCAGTGAACACCTCTAGATTAAGGGAAGAGCAGGCAACTGATGCGTGGTGAGGCTGACGCCAGGATAACTGCCCGGAAGAGGTCTCTGGACTGTCCGTCCAGCTGCCTGAAGGGTGTCTAGATAGCTCGGGAGATACAGATGTTGTGAGTCATCACCCATGCTAGGCTGGGCTCTTCAGTGATACCTCTGAGTAGTCATCCCTGCGCCTGGAAGTAACCCCTCACCCACACTCCTACAAGGAACTCCAAAAAGCTCACGGGCTCACTAAGTTAGACTTGGAGTGACTCTTGTCTGTAGGGGGTTGATGTGGGAGTGATTTCTTATTAATAAAGAAACTGCCTCGGCCCTCATAGGACAGAAAATTAGGTAGGCGGAGTAAACAGAAGAGAATGCTGGGAAAAAGAAGCTTAGTAGAGGAGTCGCCATGATTCTCCCACTCCAGACAGATGCAGGTTAAGATCCTCCCTGGTAAGCCAGCTCGTGGGCTACACAGAATATTAGAAATGGGTTAGAACAATATGTAAGAGCTAGCCAATAAGAAGCTGGAACTAGCCGGGCCAGGCAGTGTTTGAAAGAATACAGTTTCCGTGTAATTATTTCGGGCATAAGCTAGCCATGCGGGCGGCCGGGTGCCGGGGACGCAGCCCCGCCGCTCCTGTTTCAACAGGGGGTTCCCAATCTGGGTGAGCAGACACATGTGTGCTGTGTCTCACGAGTAAAAAGGTCACATGATCATCATCAGCTCTGAGGGTAGAAAGGGCTTGAAACAATGTAGGATATGGCGATGGGAGACGGTGATGAGAACATATTAATGTTTCTTGAGGATTTGTGTATTTACCACGGCCATGATTCATATTATCTCATGCAGGCAATACCACAACAATCTTATCCCTACTTTGAGATTACAAGAATAGAGGCGCATGGAGTTCAGAAACTTAACTAAAGTCACGAAGGTGGCTGGGTGTGGAATTAGAAGTGTTTCTGAGGGGTATGGGTAAATCAGGATCTTGTTATGGAGTCCTGACTGGCCTTAGACTTGCATAGATGCCCCTGCCGCTGCCTCTTCCTCCCAAGTGTTGTTTATTACTATTATTATTGAGATAGGGCCTTATGGAGCTATGTAGTTCAGGGTGGACTTTCATTAGGTTATGTGTCATAGCTGGCCGTGCACTCCTAATCTTCCTGTCTCTATCTCCCAGGGGCTGAGATTATGGGCATATGAAGGCTTCAAGAGAGAAAGGAGGGAAGGAGGCGGGAAGAGCTTGTTTAGCGGTGTGGGAACCGGCTTGGGCTGTGAGCGCAGGATTGAAGCACTTGATGCTCATTCTCAAGATCACACCTGCACTCGGGCAGGCGTCTGCGGCCTCTCCTGGGAGTGAATGTGGAGAGAAACTTGTGGTTGAAGTGTGCTGACGAAGGTTAATGCCAGGCAGGGTTTGGGGACCGGACTAAAAGTGTGCCCTTGGAGGAAAGTGACAAAGATGAAGGACTCCACCCCCGGAGAGAGAGTTGTGTTCTGCTGTTTAGCCTCCTCCAGGTAGAAATGGAGAATGTACCTCACCTCAGGGACTCAGGACCCCAGGAAGCTCAGGTACTGAGCCTCGTTTGAAAGATTATAGTGTCACATTCCCTCCTGTGTCTCTTGTCACCAGGGCAGGGGGTATGATGTTTCTACTTGCATTTCAGACTGTCAATCTGCGCGATGGTTAAATGTTTCAGACATATTGCTGAGAAGGCCCGTAATGGTAATGGATGAGGTGGACATGCTGCAGCGGAGTGTGTACTGGGTAGTTTTATGTTAACATGACACGAGCTAATGACATGACACGAACATGACATGACATGACATCTGAGAGGACGGAACCTCGACTGAGAAAATGCCTCCGTAAGACCAGGCTACAGTCAAGCCTATAGGCCATTTTATTAATTAGTGATTGATGGGGGAAAGTTTTCTATTGTGGGTGATGCTCTCCTTGGCTCTTGGTCCTGGATTCTATAAGAAAGGAGGCAGAGCAAGTCATGAGGTAGCAAGCCAGTAAATAGCATCTCTCCTTGGCCTCTGCATCTGCTCCTCCCTCCAGATTCCTGCCCTGTTTGGGTTCCTGTCCTAACTTCCATAGGTGATGAACAGCGGTATGGAAGCGTAAGCAGAATAAACCCTTTCCTCCTCAAGTTGCTTTGGTTATGGTGTTTGATTATAGTAACAGCAACCCAAACGAAGACAAGAAGTAAGGGCCCAGTGTAGAAAATAGCTGAATTAGAGCATTGTACCAGGACTCAGAAACATAAGCCGCCTTTACACATTGGGACCAACAAGGGTTTGGAGAAGACCCACAAACAATCACCGCAAATGGACTGCTCCATGCCAGCCATAGGAGCACTTGATTATTGGGGTGAACCCAGGAAGTCAAATAGCTCATGATCTGGCCCCTCCAAAAACACCAACTGGACTAGCACACAGACCTGACACAGATGGCTAAAGAGTCGAAGGAGACTGGAAGCAGCTGGCTTCTCAGGTACAACCCTTGGAGGACTGTGCCATCTGAGTGAGAGAAAGCAAAGGGAGGGGAGGAAGAGAAAGCTAAAGAAAGGGAAGCTGAGAGAGTGGGGAAAGAGATCAATGCACACACAGGCTCAACATTAAAGACCAGAGCTCTCGGAACAGGAGCAAAGGCCGGTTACTGTGTGACACTGTGGTCATTCATATTTAAAGTGGATAATATAGCAAACAAAAGATGAGGTACACAGCACCAAACACAAGGTTCTGAGAGTGAGGGAAAAATGTGCTAAGAAAATCCTATTGGGTTGTGGCTTTTTAATCTTTATTTTGGGAAACCCCAGAGTTCACACAAACAAGGAGCAATTACATTTGCCCTGGTGCAGGGCCTACATCTTTGTGTGTGTGTATACGTGTGTGTGTGTGTGTGTGTGTGTGTGCACTCATGCTCGTGGCTGAATTGGGTAGCACCATATCCTTTCTTCTCATCCAATACTGATGTTTTTAGTGCCCTCTGTTACATTCTCTCTTCCTCTAGAATCAGCAGGTTTTAAGTGTTCAAATCCCGACTGAAGTGATGTGGATAGCAAAACGCAGAACTGGAAGTGACTATGTACACCTTGCTGGGCCTGCAGACAACAGACAGCCTCTTACCTTTATCATAGATTTCCTTCAAGACCCCTCTCTTGATCAGCTCCTCTCTGCTCTGCCTCATCGATATCTTCCTTTCCAGAGCTGCAAGCAAGAGACAAGAGAGGTGGTGTGAACAGTAGCCATTGTCCTCCTCCCTGCAAAGGATCCATCTGTTAATGGACACTGTGATGTCATGAAAGCCTATGAAGTACGTTTTGCTGATGGTAAACCAATGACACCAGGTAATGTTTTAACTCTTCAAAATACTTTTTGAGTTACCTCTAAGGCAGGTTTGGTTATTGAATCTGATGAATGACTTCTGACTCTGACTTATGGTGGTGGATGCCTCTGTGTGGAGAAGCTTCACATCTCGTCAGCCGCACGACTACTGGCTAAGGGGACTGGGACTCAGCCTCTGTTTGGGGCTCTACCTCTCAGTCAGGGGCATGTCCCGAGAATGGCTGCTCCTGTCAGACAGGCTGGGCATTTCAGCATCTCGGCATTTCGCCAATCTGACTCCTCACCGAGGGTCTCCTTGTTTTTCCAAATGTAAAAATTAAATAGAGGTACACATTTGGATATTTATCTCTGGAAAAGTACCCTGTACTGGGGTGGTTTACGAAGACCCGCGAAGATCTCTGCTTTGCCTCTCCTTCACCTCTCTATGTAGCTGCATGTGGGAGAAGCCACATGAGGAACGAACTTTTCCCAAGCCAGGTGCTTCTCCAGCTGAGCCACATGTGTGGTAGGTGGGGCTAGAGAGGAGGAGAGAGTTCTCCTATGGGAAGAGTGGGCGTAATGGGGACCAGTGAAGGGGAAATAGATACAAAGGGCCCACGGGAGGCATGCTGGGAGCCTCTGAAGGGAAGGCAGTCCCTTCAGCACCTGCAATCTCATCTCTGGTAAACACGGGGCGGTGGGGAGGGAGGTTATTTCAGTGGCCGTGTATGCCTGAACATTTCTATGTCCCTCAGGAGCATAGCTACTTAGGGGGTGACACGCTACTGGCAGAACAGAGGAGCAAAGTCGTGTGCAGCTTACTTACACACACACACACACACAGACACACAGACACACACACACACACACATACACACACACCTTAACAGAATTTAGAATAAGAAACGAGTGGGCAAGAAGCCAAACCTCGGTGGGAGCCTATGATCTCTGGGACATCAGACATATCTCTTTGCTGAAGACAGATGCCTCATCCCTGCTATTCTGATTTCACAAGTTCTGCGTAGGGCTGCGGCACCTTGATTTTGATAGAAAGATCTCTGGGTCATTGCCAGGCTCGGCTAGGTTCACACTCTCTGATAATATAGTTTGACGAAGCATTTCTTACCATTCAAGTCCAAACATAATCTGCACCAACATCTAATAATCTCTCACTTGAATCATTCCTTCACTATGTAAAAACACCTTTCTACTTGTCAACGTGGGCCAACTGGTCCAAAGAATGAACATGCCTAGTGTTTTTCTCTGCTAGGTGGATCACGTTGACAGTTTGCTTCTGGAACAACTAACTGATCATGTTGCACGTGATAAAACTTGTAGGGAGTGGAACTGAGTTGGAGGAATTTGGGTGACTGGGAGGTGGAGCTTTGAAGGAGACATTGGGGTGTCAACACTCCTTTGTACCTATTTCTTAAGTGCCATGATAAAGGCATTTTGAGCCACTACGTATTGCCTGTGATAAAATGCTGAACTGCCACAGTCCTGCATGGGCAAGCAATCATGGACTGAAAAACTCTCAATCTAAAACAAATCTTGCCTGCTTTTCAGTTGACTTTCTTAAGGGTTCTGCTACAGTAACAGAATGCTAAATCCATTTAGTAATCCCATCCCATGGAACAGATGAGGGGTAAGCATTCTTGTCACATAACAGGCATGAATCTTAGTGGCTGCTCTGTCAGTGTGATCTTACAACCCTTACCACAGTTTTACAAGAGCAACTTCAGCAGAATTCCCAGTATGCCCATGCAGGGATCCAATAATCCATTGTAGTAGTTTGAATAAGAATGCTCCCCCCCACACACACACACTGAGGCTGATCTATTTGAATTCTTAGTCACCAGGGAGTGGAACTGTTTGAAAGGATTAAAAGGAGATTAGGAGGTAATGACCTGTTGGAGGAAATGTGTCGCTGGGGGGTAGGCTTTGGGGTTTCAAACGTCCACAGTAGGTCTAGATTCTTTCTCTACCTGCTGACTGCAGGTTAGGATTAAAGATCTCAGCTACTTCTCCAGGGTCATGTCTGTCTGTCATCATGCTCCCTGCACTGATGATAATGGACTAACCCCCTGAAACTGTAAGCAAGCCCCCAATTAAATGCATTCTTTTATAAGGGCTTTTTGGTTTTAGTGACTCTTCAAAGCAATAGAACAGTGACTAAGACATTCATCCTCTTATTCCCTTTCTGTCACATGGCATCACAGCAGTTCTGTGACTCAGCCACCTTCAGGGATTTCCCACCAGGCTTGAATGGTCCTCACATACTGATAAAACTATCTGGATCACTGCCCTAAATGCCAGACAAACTAGCCTTGGCCTTGAGAAAAATTTGTTAAACCAGAAGCTACAGACACACCCAGGCAGAACAACCCTCTTCTTTTATTTTCTTTGTAAAGAAATACTCATACTCTGGCTGTTCTTATAATACTGGCTTTGGACCAATTGTCTAGGGCTCAATGCTTCTTTGTTTGAAATCTTAACTAGTTCCATGCCTGGATGGGCCATCTCTGGTGGGAACTCTCCTGTAGTTATTCTTAGGGGATTTCAGGTTTGGTGGGATGGTGTCAGAGGCACATGAAAAAAACACATTATCAAGGTAGTGACCCAACTACTGTATTATTATTATTATTATTATTATTATTATTATTGGTGGTGGTAGTAGTAGTAATAATAGTTGGGTCAGTTCTTCATAACCCACAAGGTCAGAGATGAGACTGTTTATTTACTGATTTTTTGTGGTGAGATTTAAATCATCTTCGTCCATACAGTCCAAAGTCTTCTTTGCAGAACAGTGTTGCCCACAGACACTTGATAAGTGAATGTAAACTTAGATATCAGTTACCCAACAGATGCAAGCTCAGATTAAAAAGGAATCCGAGAAAAATGGTGTCTGTACTGGACATGCACAGACCCTTTTTCTCTCTCTATTTTCTTTGACAGTTTGATTTATAATAAATTTTAGTCGTATTCACCTCCCATTCCTCTCTCCCATTCCCTAACCACTGCAACTATTCTCTCCAACATGCTCCACCCCTACTTTTATGACAGATTCTTTTTGCTTGCCTGGCCACCACTCACTAAGCAATACCCTAAAACCCCCCAATGCAGACAGCATTTCCATTGCAGTTACTATCATGTGTCATCTAATCATGGGGTTAAGAGCTCAGCAAGACACCCACATGTTCTACGAAAGTATTCCATTGAAGGTAGGGGACTAGATTTCGTCATCTTTGGGTCCATGGGTGTGGAGAGATGACTGTGACCACACTGAAGGAGGGCAGACTCTTGATGTCTGAGCTAGCAATGATGATAGTGGTCAAGCATCTCTTTCCATGTATTTCTGCTGCTGTGGAAGCCTGAGTCAGCGGAGTGCTGTGCTGCGGTGAGTGCTCTTAGCTAGGAGCTCACCAACGCCTTCAGCTCCAAGGCTTTCCCCAATATGCAAAGGTATAGAATCCTTTAACCTTGGGCAACCTAATACAGCAAGCATTTGGCCGTTAACAATTCTGGTTTTGTTGTAACAGAGACTGGGTATGTCTTTTGATAGCAAATTAGATCGCATTATTTCCTCTGGAGTGACAATGTATGAGACCAGATGATGCCATTAACAGGTCTGTTCTTCTCTTTGCTACAGGAAGAGGGCTTCCCTGCCAGGCCTCAGGCATGCATATGTGAAAAGGAAAGGGACAGAGCTTCCTCCTAAACTGTAAGCTATGTGGTTAAGAATATGTTTTTCAAAGATTTTAAGTGTACCCACAAGTGGAATGAACCAGCTGGAAAAGCATTTGGGAGCTAACTAGACAAATACAGTTCTGGGATGGTACTGAAGTTCATTAAAGGTTATTCTTAGCTTTGCTATATCTGAAAATGGCCCGTATACACGTGGAACACATTTCTTACTGTTTCAGAGATGCATGATGAGAGGTCTGTAATTTATATTAAAACACTTCAGAAGGGGGCTGGGGAGCCAGCTTCATGGGTAAGAGTGCTTGCTGAGCAGGCATGAAGACATGGGTTCAAATCGCCAGCATCCACGTAAATAAGTAAACAACAAATAAACAAACAAAACCCACAAGTGTCTGTGACCCCAGAGCTGTGAGGAATCGAGATAGAAGGGCTGTTGGAAGCCAGCCTTCTCAGTCCAGTGAGACACTCTGTCACAAGAGAATAAGGTGGGAAGGGCTGACAAAGAGCACTCAGTGGCCTCCATATACACACAGGGGTACAAACACCTGCACACGTGTATGTGCATACATAGCACAATGCACGCACACACATGCACACACACACCACTTCAGAAAGCAATCATTATACACCACCAAAGTTTAGTAACTATTAGAACGTAGTCATAAAATCCTCTCCACTTCTCATATCTGGCCATTTTCCAAGTAAGAAGTAAACACACAGCTGGGCGGTGGTGGCATACACCTTTAGTCCCAGCATTTGGAAGGCAGAGGCAGGCAGATCCCTGTGAGTTTAAGGCCAGCCTGGTCTACAGAGCAAGTTTCAGAACAGGTTTCAAAGCTACACAGAGAAACCCTGTCTCAAAAAACCAGAAAAAAAAAAGTAAACACGCAAGGGAATCTTTCAAGAAATGTTAAATGGAGAAAGCAAAATAAAGAATACATGTATGAAATTCAAAAAGGTGGCAAAAGCTACAGGCATGATTTGGCCACAGATCTAAACTTATAGATACATTAGAAAGCAAGGAAATTCTTTATGAAAGAAATCAGGATAGTGGCCACCACTCACGAGGGGGATGCATCGAAGGGCTTCCAAGTGCTGGCAGTATTTACTTTTGAGACTTGCAATGCAGACACATGGTGTTTGCTTTATAGCCACATCAAGAATTCCATATGACTGTTTTGCCAAGTTTTTTTTTTTTTTTAACATGTGTCCTAGTTCCACAAACAACACTCAAAAGGTGTTCTCACTAACGCTGCCTCTCTTGGTCACTTTGCAGCAGTCTCCAAAGGGGAATGAAGAGCCCAGCTGACGTGATGGAATCACAGCTGTCCAGCAAACTGACTCCTGTCCACAGGAGACAGGGTGATAATACAGAAATAGATGCCACAATGTGCCGTTTCTTGGTCATTCCCTCGAGTAGATCCAACAACGTGTACAGAAGTACAATGTACAGTGTACATTGCTCTTAGAGTTTATTTACTTTTCTCCAAGGCTCCAGGGAGCTCCATGGGGCCTGCATGAGTGGGTTAAGAATTCAAGCAGAAAGCTTCCATTTTTAAGTAATTTTACAGAAGGAAAGACTCTGAAAATTTGGAAACCAGAATGGACTACTCTTGGAGTCCATCATGTAAAGAACTAATCAACTGAAAGGGGATAGTTCCACAAGGAATGATTGGTGAGGGCATCGGGGATGTTAACGCTGCAGTTTGCATCTCCTACTTTCTCTCTTTAAGCTAACCAGCGCAGGGAGCTCTTCCTCATCAGGATGAGCATGACTGTCTCTCCTGAAATCAGTCAGATGCTGCAGCATTGCCACCAGTCTGTCATCATCATCATCAACATCATCACCACCATCATCATCATTATCATCACCACCATCATCATCATCTTCATCATCACCACCACTATCACCATCATCATCATCACCACCACCACCATCACCATCATCACCATCATCATCGTCTTCCTCCACTGGCTTCCCACTATAGGAGCACAGTAGAACATAATATTTTTCTTTTATTTCTTGGCAGGTTCCTACAATACACCCTATTGTGATTACACTCCCACTGCCCTCGTTATGTTCTGCTATTCCTCCACTCCTTCCCACCCAGTCCATGTGAGACTGTACCATTAGAAAAACCAACACCTTCTCCTCCAGCAAATGTCAGCAGTTATCAGCTCCTTAGGAGGGGATGTGGCTTCATATGCACCTGCCCCGGCCCATGATGGGAAGGTGGAGGGCCCAATCTCATGTAAGTATCCATTGCTGTGGGGTATAGGGCGTGATCTAATAAAACTGAGATCTGAAAACAAATGCACACAGAGCTCTATTCAGGACGTCTGTAACGCCAGGCTTTTTCCTTACATGTGATGTGTTGACCCCCGCAGGGACAGCAGACATAGTGACAGGAGAGTTGGCATTATACACAAAGGCTGGCTGCTTTGGGGCTGGCTTCTAGTGCTTGAGAGAGAGTGTAGGAATGTCTAATTTCCCTTTGTAATGGTGCTCAAATCTACATCTCTCATTTCCACTTTGTTCTCCGCTGCCTCTAAGACCTGCCCCAGACCCCTGTGCCCAAGCCCAAGAAGAAAAACGCAATTCATAGATTTAAGTGAGCTTACCTTTCCAGATACAGCATGTAGAATGTAAAATACTACTGTATTTACTGTAAATCCCTAATTTTCATTGGCTACCCTGTGATAGGTACGTATCGCCTCACGCACTCAAGAGTGGAAATCTGACATTTTGCCCAGAACAGCTTAGTAGCCTAGCTACCACCTGTTACCTAAACAATAATAGGGCTCTTGTTCACATGATCCTGTAGTGCCAAGTCCACAGAAACAAGCTTGCTGGCTTTGCTGCTTGCTTTTTCAGAGTCTCATGATTGGATTGACCCTGCAGGGGTGAAGTCTGGAGTACAATGTTAACAAGAGGAGGGGTTCCTTCAAATTTTGATTTCCCAGATGCTTTAAGGACAGAAAAGGATAACAGCACCTGTTTGCTTGCTTTGGGCTATTTTTGATACAGGGTATGGAGCCGATGGCTTTGTGTATGCTCAGCATGTGCCTGACTGCTGAGCGACACCTGCAAGCTGACTGGGGTCGCCTCTGTTCTTCTCTACTGCCAGCGGCCAGAGTAAGCCATTAACTGTGAATTGCATTTTTAAGAACCATAACTATACATAGCTATACCATATTTCTATTCAGAAAGATACTGTGTTTAAAAAGAATGTTTCTATGAAGGTCTTGACCTGCCCCACAATGACCACATTAATACAATGAATTCGGAGGTAAGGGCTCTGTGTTCCCACATAATGTTTTATGTAAGTTTCACAATAATTCCAGGAGGTTGGCATCATGCTCCCGCCTTGGCAGATGAAAGTAGCATTAAGTAACCTGCCCAGAGTGTGAAATGGGGGCTTCAATGCAGGTTGTGCGACTGCAGTGTGCAAAGGCGTGTGCACAGCATTCCTCCTGTCCTAAGCCTTTACAAGGCGGGACAATGCCATAGTTTGGCAAACACACTTGTACAGATAGTCTTTAACCTAGCACAGTGTCTGATTCCTTTGTCTGAAGACAGAAGTTTGTAGTGTGCTGTACTGATCTACTTGGATCGCCATAACAAAATAGCAAGGACTGTTTAGCTTAAACAGCAAAGGAACTATTTTCTCCGACTTCCGGAGTCCAGGTAACTCTCAAGTCATAAGGAAAGCAAACCTAGAGGACTGGGGCCCAACCCTTATGATTTCATTTAACTACACTTTCATAGACCACATGTGGCTACACTGCAGGTTAGGGAGTCACCATAAACTTCAAGGGGACACAGCCAGTCACTTGTAAACTATGGCCACTTCTAAATGCCATCACATATGGCAGATAGTTATTTCTGAGCTAGACTTTACACTTGAAGACCAACTTGACAGGCACGTATTAGCGGACAATCCAGGACTACGAACATGGGTTGAGGACACCTCACCTGAAATGCTGGTGTTCAGAAGTGTTTAAGATTTTGATTTGGATGGAGTTTTAAATATTGACATAAACACAGCTATCTTGGGGATGGGGCTCAATTCTACATATAAAGTTCATTTAGGTTTTATTTCCACTTTGTACATACAGCTTGATGGTAATTTCAAACAGTATTTCAGTGCACCTCCATTCTGACTGTAACTCAACCTGTGGTGTCAGGTGTGACGTTTTTTCTTTGCGACATAATGCTGGTACATGAAAATTTAGAATTTTGACACGTTTCTGATTTTGGATTTTTAGGTTGCGGATGTTTCACTAATATTGTTTAGAGAATTTAAAGCACTACCTCTGGGGGGCTGTGGATGTCTGGGGTCTGCATTAAAGTCTGTGGCTCATATCGCCTCAGGGGGCTGTGATGGAATCAGAGGGCCATGCTGAGTTGGTCCACCCTTTGCTGGCCCGGGGAAAGTGGGCCTTGCCTCTTGCTGGACACTGCATCCGGAAAGCCCAGTCATCATGGGAGAGCTGGCCCCTGCACTTGGGAGAGATGACCTCAGCCCTAACGATATGCTAGGGGGAGCCAACCCTGATGGTATAGGGGATAGGGGAGCGAGCTCTGCCCTCTTGCCTGAGGTGGGTGGCCCCAGTGACTGGGACTAACCAGCTTAGCTATTACCCACACCCAGAGCCAGGCCTTAGGTTGGCCCACCCAAACATCTACCCCATCTAGGACCTGCTGGAGCTCGTGAAGGGACTAGTCCTGCAGAACAACTCTCTATCCTTGGAGCAACCATGGGATATCCCAGAGGAGGTTGGATGAGGATCCAGTGATGACTGTACCAGGAGCCAGAGGCCTTCGACCAGACAGTGACTCATCATAAGTGAACATTAGCTAGTAAAGCTGATTGGACAAAGTGTGCACTGTGTGACACTCTGCTCCCAATGCCACCGGGACCAGTAAAGAGGAGGAAAGAAGGAGAAGTGAAGGACTTTTTTGTTTGTTTGTTTTGCTTTGTTCATGTTTTTGTTTGTTTGCTTTCTTTGTTTTGTTTAGGTTTGAAATTTTCTTTCGGGGGGAGGGGCACTGCAGGAGTAAGGGGAGGACCCGCTCTTGCACCATATCCACAGCAAAAGGATGCTCAACTGCATCCAATTAAACAAACAAACAAAAAAAAAAAAACACCACTGCCTCTTTCTCCCCCCACCCCACAAAGAACAACAACAACAACAAAACTCCAAATTTACCCACATTTATGAAGGCAAACACTGGCTCTGGCATCTCCCAGCTGGCACTGGGTGGTGAGAACTCTGCGCTGTGCCGTCGGTTCTGATGGCTGGCATGGCAGTCTGAGCCACACTGGCTTTTATGCTCCCAAGGTGGGAATACAAGATGGCACAACTCCTCTTTTATCAACTAGAGTCAGTTTGAGTCATACTACTATTATCCCTTTCGCAAATACTTGAAAAATATCCATTAGGGATGCCACGTGGACCTATCATTGATCATTCTCTTTTGGGAAAATATGGAATTTTGTGTGTGTGTGGGGGGGCGAGTGTTGTTCGTTTATTTTTTTGTTTTTACTTGACAATATAATTTGCTTGACAGATTCAGTAATCTAAATTCCTTTTAAAAATTGCATAAAGCCATATTCAAAATTCCTTCCAAATTGAAGGGCAAGTCCAGGGAACGCAGCAAGGTCCTTTGCCATTCTGCACACAAGGCGTGTGTTGCTTGACTTTCTTCATTTGCATAACAAGGTACTTGAATGGGGACACATATAGGTCTCTTATGCACTCATCAGCTAGTAATGCAAACAGTAAGAACAAATACTCATTTCCTTCAAGCGGGAGAAATGCATTATTGATGTGCACCAGGGAAAACTTGCCTTTGTGCTTGCATATTGTCTTTGTTCAGATTTCCCGTGCGATGATCAAAGGTCATGGCCAAAGGCAGCTTAGACACAAACATGTTTATTCCATCTTACAGCTCTCAGACCACACTTCATAGCTGGGGGAAGTTGGGGCAGGAACTTGAGACAGGGATGTAGAGGCAGGAACCAAAGCAGAGGCCATGAAGGAAGGCTGCTGACTGCTTTGCTCCTCCATGGTTTGCTCATTTTACTTTCTTACAGACCCCAGGACCACCAGTGTGGGCATGGCATTGCCCACAATGGTTTGGACCCTTTCACGTCTATTATCAATCAAGAAAATGCCCCATAGGCTTACTTAGAGGTCAATGTTATGGTCACATTTTCTCAACTGAAGCTCCCTCTTCTCAGATGACCATAGCACGTGGCAAGTCAACAAAACCAAACCAAACCAGGATATATGTTATCCATGGAAAAGGAAAAATCCCCGAATATTTAAATGTAAGGTTCATGTCTCAAACACTTACTCTAAGTGCCGTTGGAAGAACTGAAAAACAGCATGGCTAACGAAGCAGGCTTCTCACCACACATGCACACAGAAGAGAGGTCTAGAAGCATAGCAGCCTCTCAACTTCCCTGGAGGCTCGCCTTACAGACAGTCCTCTATCCTCCTGGTTAGTAAGACTCAGCAAGACGCATATTGTTCCCTTAAATGGATGCCCAGGCTTCGCTCATCTTTTGTGACTGCCGCTTCTGGGTTTTTCTGGTGGGTGTTTGTGCACTGTTTCTGAAGTCAATGTATCATGCGCAGTGGAACCCAGCAGAGTTCACAAATGAAAAGAACAGATGTCATTTTCTTCCAGTTGCTTGCACTGTTGTTATTTTTGCAAGACACTGAGGGGTGACCCTTGATGCCACGGTACTGTCTGGCAGCTTTCAGATTCTAGCGATGGACTCCTCAGTGGGCTGAGGAAAGACTTGAGCCAAGATGGTGATTAAGAATTTAAATTCTGATGCTTGGCACAGTCTTGGCTGGAGTCAGTGAGGGGATGGATGATCTGACTCAGATGGGAATTTACCTGACTTCAGTGCTGTGCGAAAGCAAATGTAGGCTCTCAACCCATCCTGCTGCTCCTGAAAGAGCTCACCAAAGGGACTGTGCTGGTTTGCAGCATTGGGTTTAACAGAAAGAAAAACCTTACCTGGATTTCTAGCTACACAAGAGCACAGGAGCAAGCGATAAGGCGGCCATGGTGGGGGGGGTGTTCTATGATCTCATTGATTCCCCCTTTCCTAGAGCATCCTGTAATACCACAGACAGAGCTAGATAAACTACCTGCTGTGAGACTCTGAAGACAGGAACTATCCAGAACTTTGTCTGGACTGCAACATGCATCCGAATGATCAGTTCCATGATAGCATCCCCAGAGATGGTAAAAGTGTGGTTAAAAACATGAGACATAAACTGCTCATCTTAATAATTTTTAAAGCTTTTTTTTTTACAATTTATATATATATATGGTGTGCTGGCTAGAATTATGTCAACTTGACACAAACAATAATTATCTGAGAGGAGGAACCTCAGTGGAGAAAATGCCTTCATAAGATCAGGCTGTGGGCCAGCCTATAGGGCATTTTCTTAATTAGAGATTGCTGGGGAGGGCCCAGCCCATTGTAGGGAGTGCTACCCCTGGACTGGCAGTCCTGGGTTCCATATGAAAGTAAACTGAGCAAGCCATGGAGAGCAAGCCAGTAAGCAGCACCCCTCCATGACCTCTGCATCAGCCCCTGCCTCCAGGTTCCTGCTCTGTTTGAATTCCTTTCCTGACTTCCTTTCATGATGAGCAGTGCTATGGAAATGTGGAAGCAGAATAAATCCTTTCCTCCCCAACTTGCTTTTTGGTCGTGATGTTTCGTCAAAACCATAGAAACCCTGACTAAAACACGCATGGAGTGTACAAGGTTTTGTGCACCTTGTGTATGTAGCAGCACTCAGAGGCCAGAAGAGGAGCTCCAATCCCCTGGAACCGGAGTGACAGGTAGTTGTGAACTATAGGTGGGTGTAGGGAACTGAACCCAGGTCCTCTGTGAGAGCAACAAGTGCTCTTAACTGCCCAGCCAACTCTCCAGCTACCTCACCTGAATATTCACGATGCTGCTCAGTACTATTATATACATTCGCTTTGCTGTGCACCCTTACACTGAACTTCTGTATCCACTCAACAGTGCCTTTACCTCTTTTGTCAGTTACAGGTCACCTCTATCTCCTGAATCTGCTGTTCCAAGTATCCAAAGTGACACAGCTCGCTCTCTCTCTCTCTCTCTCTCTCTCTCTCTCTCTCTCTCTCTCTCTCTCTCTCTCTCTGTGTGTGTGTGTGTGTATCTAGGTTTCTTTTTTTAGCATAACATTCTCAGGGTTCATCCACATAGTCCAGTGTTTAACAATTTCCTTCCTTTGAAGGCTGTGTGATAGTCCACTGTATGGGCTGGAGAGATGGCTCAGTGGTTAAGAGCACCGGCTGCTCTTCCAGAGGTTCTGAGTTCAATTCCCAGCAATCACATGATGGCTCACAACCATTTGTAATGAGATCTGGCGCCCTCTTCTGGCCTGCAGGTATACATGGAGTCAGAATACTGTATACATAATAAATCAATCTTAAAAAAATAATCCACTGTACATACAGACCATGTATGTATCTTAGTTAGGGTTTCTACTGCTTTGACAAAAAACCATGACCAAAAAGCAAGTTGGGGAGGAAAGCCATTCTTTGCTCACTCTGCTGTGGGAAGGCAGTCATTGCCTCCACCTCTGAGAGTCTGTGAATAACGCTTCTGTGAATACAGATGTCCAATGTCTACACATTCTTATGATTCTGCTTTGCGTTCTTTCTGGTACATGTGCTGAAATGAACTGTTGCATCACATGGGGGTTCCAGATTTCGGTTTCTGAGGAGAACTATGCCGTTTTCCACAGCAGCTGTCCAGCTTTATGTTCTCACGGAGAGCCCACAGTGCGCGGACGTCTTCACATCCTCGCCGATACCGCCTCTTCCACCCCCTCCTGACATTACGATTGTAATTATTAGAACCATCTGAAGGGCTATGAGGTGACTGACATAGTTTAATATGTTGAACTCCGGGGAGAGGAAAATCAGCCCAGGCTAGAGCCCTAACATTTGGCTGTGAGATTAAATGCTTTTACAAATTGCCTTTTCTTCACACCATGGCACCACAGCCATAATCTCACAAACTAAAAGCCTGCCTTTGACCCTTTGGGATAAGACCTTTGATTTCTTTGCTGAGGAAAAGAAGGGACAGGTTTCAAGGAAGGAACAAGTAAATAAAAAAGGCTATTTTATTTCCAGAGAAAGAAACATTTAATCATTGTTTCCATTAATGGAATCAAGATTTACCTACCAATTTCTTCAAAATTAAAGGATAACAGTTTTGTTAGATATAATAATGCCACAAATTACAAACCCAATCATTTATTATATAAATATTATTATGTATGCACACTTGGGTAGCGGAGAGCTCTGATTTGTCTCTTCAGGGCTTGATGGGGACTGAAAACATTGGTTATTTTTTTTTCAGGTTGAATGAAAAGTTTCTCGTGTGGGGGTAGGGCAGGGAAGATACAGAGAGACACAGAGGAAATAATAAAGATTCTATTAGGGCTTCTAGCTTCATGATCCAAGAAGACAGAAAAGATAAGTTTGGTGGAAAAAAAAATGAATCAGTTAGCCAGTAGATACACGGAGCAGGTGTCAGCAACCGTTTTCTGCAGAGGGCCTGGTGGCCAGCACTTGCGCCTTTGCAGGCTCTACCGTCTGTGCAGATCAAACCAGCCAGAGCAGCCAGGGATAGGTGGCCCGTAAATGAAGGTATATGGCGGTGTGACAGCAGGACTCTATCTCACAAACAGGCGGTAAGGTGGGGCTAGGTTCACTGGTCACAGTCTCTTACCTCCTGAAAATTAGGGGTTCTCATAAAAAAGGAGAACTAGGAAAGAGGAGGAGGAGGAGGAAACAATTGGAGGCACAAAATCCTCACTGTTATTTCTTTAAAAAATTAAGTACAAGCCAGGCACCACAGGTACACACCTGCAATCTCAGCCCTTGGGAGGCTGAGGCAGGAGGATCAGTTGATATCCATTTTACCTCCCCCAGGAGTTTCCACCCTCCACTAAGCTCTCATCAGGTCCTCCTGCCGCTCTTCTCACAAGGCCTTGACCTTGGCCCGAAGAACTGCGACTTTGAGCACCGGTAAAACTATCTGCTTCCTGTGCAAACGGACACAGGCACAACTCAGGTTCTCCAAGTCTTGTTCCCAGAAAAAGGAAAACACCAGAGATCCCTGAAAATGCCTCCCTGAGAAAGTACAAAGCCACCAACAGCTGACCTAGGTCTCTAAGCTTCCTTTGCCTGGAGCATTGACCTTAGGAAACTCAGCAGCTCTGAA